AGCATGAATCTAGGCATTAAATATGTGAGGAAAAACAAAAGATCCAGAAACCCTCCAATATACTCCTCCTTGTTCTCATGGCCTCTTTTTTTCATTGACTGTTGTTACATATATTTATATGTTAAATATATATGTATATATACTCATTAATTGTTATGTGTATTCTAAATATAACCTACTCAGTCCGTGTAATGTTACTCGTATTTATGGTTTCAGGGCTGAGCACTTGGGATTGGATAACCAAATGGTGTGCTCTTCCCTGGAGAAGATTGTTCTTTCTATTCTCAGCAATCCTTAGTTGCCTTTCGTTCTTCGTGTAGAGTTGAGCTCTCCTGACCTTGAGGGACAAAGAACGTGAAGTTACGTGGGCGGGGAGGTAGGAAGGATCTAGGAGGAGTTGGAGGAGGGGAAGAATGATGAAAATATGGTGTATGAAAAAATTCAAAAGCCAATAAGTAAAAATCAAACCCAAAACAAAACACAGGTGAAAACCAAGTCAGAGCCTAGTGCTGGCTGGAGATATGACTCAGATCCTCTTGCAGAGGATCCAGATTTGGTTCCTAGCACCTATATAGTGACTCAGCCATCTTGTCTCTCCAATTCCAGGGGATCCAAAGCTCTCTTCTGGTCTCCTTGGGCACCAGGCATGCATGTTGTACACACACATGTGCACATACACACATACATGCATATATAGATGGGGGTAAACATTCATACTCATAAAATAAATACTTTTTTCTTTTGTTTATTTGAAATAGGCTTTCTCTGTGTAGAGCTGACTGTCCTGGAACTTGCTTAGTAGATTAGACTGGCTTCAAACTCACAGAGATTTGCCTGCCTGTACCTCTGAGTGCTGTGATTAAAGATGTGTGCTACCACACCTGATTGAAAATAGATCTTATTATTAACCCACTAACCCATTTAGTTATGTAAACACACACTGAGATCCCACTCTGTAGCCTAGACTGATGCCACATGGCTAGATGGCCACAGGAGGAAAAGCAGTTAGCATAGAAAAAGGTAGGGACTGATCATTCTGTCTTCTTCACCTCTAGATTTGTTAGAGTTTGACATTTCTATATATTAATATATATTAATTGTATATAGATGAAGAGATGTTGACTTTCTAAGTTTATTTCTATAATGTATTTTTATTAATATCACATACATATAGTAAGAAGCATAACATAATGTATACAGTTATAAACACTCACAAATGCACACAAACACGGAACCATCTCCGATTGCCTTGGAAGCCTCCCTCTTCCACCTGCTTAGCCAGTGCTCTATGCTCAAGAGTAGCCATGATCTTGACTTCTGTCCGCATGGATTGAGATTGGCATTTGAACCTTACATACATAAGATCTCATAGTACTGTTTTTATTCAGCTGCTTTTATGTGGTGTTGTATCTGGGAAATTGATTCACACTGCTGGGTGTAGCAGTTTAGTGTTTATAGTTATATAGTATTCTGTTGAATGTATTCATTGTACTGTTGGTAGGTGTTTGGACTGCTTTCATTTGGGGCTATTGTCAATAATATTACAGTATCTGTTGCCTGTGAACATACTCTTTGGTAAGAGTAGATATGGGTCACAGAGTGTGACATAGTTATAGCAGATGCTACAAACCACTTTTCTAAAATTATAGTAACAATCCATACTCACAGTAGAATGTCAGAGGTAAAGTCGCTGCCCTTTCTCACTGGCTAGCTCTTCTGTCGGGCATGGGAAGGCATCTTGTCAGCTTACTTCCCTTCCCCTAGAGATCCTAGTATTCTTTTTGCAGTGTGTATTGGCGCATCTTTCAGGAACTGCCCATTCAAGTCTTTCCTGCGTTTCCCTTCTTGAATTACGAAAGTTACTCCAATTAACTGCTGTCTGTAGGTATTGTAGTACCTTCTCCTGTTTTACAATGTGCCTTTTAGATCCTACTTTCAGTGAAGGAAGTTTTAAATTTTATAGTCATTTTTTTTCTTTTACGTTGTATTCAAGAAATCTTTACCTAACACAAGGTCTTGAGGATATTTTCTGTATTTTCTTTTAGACATTTTACCATTTTTCCCTATGATGCATCTGGAGTAGAATTCTTATGTGGAGTTTTGTTTTTTTTAACCGCACATTGAAAGGACCATGCCCCTGCTCTGTGGTGGGAGCACTTCCCATAGATCAGATGGCAGTGGTATGAGTTTCTGCCTGGATCATTTGTTTATTCTGCTTCTAGCCCAAGTTTCAGACTATGAACTCATTTTAAGGACTCTGGCTTTCTAAGTACTGATATTCATGTGTGTACATACACAAAAGCTGTCTCTTTCTCTCTTAAGTATAGGAGAGATTTTAAATCTGTGGAGCCGTTTTGGTAGAGACATCTCTCTTTTTCTTAGCTGATTTCTCCATCCCTGGCCCCTGGATGCCAAGGTTTGCTCAAGTCCCATTTGGAGCTGAAAAAATTCTAAAGATCCAGCGTGAGAGTGTTTTCCTACCTTTGCCTGAACATCAGGCCAGAGTGGGTTGTATTCTATTCCATCTCCTCAGACTCTGTTGTCTCTCTCTGCCTAGCTCTGGGCCCTGTTTGCATCACTATAGTGGTTCCTTTCCCTCTGGCCTCTGTCAGGTCAGGCCAATAAGGAAATGGGTAGCAGGGAGAAGGAATGGGTGCAAGGTACGTACGTATTTCCCTGCAGGGTCATTTTGAGCTGGATTGGTCTAGACCACGGGCCGTCATGGTTCCCACAAGTAAAGTTTGTCTTCTTTTTTTGAGGCTTCACCATATTTACTAATGTAGGCATTTCACTGTCTCCTCTTTCTCAGCACCTTTCCACACCTTTGTTAGACTCGGCAAACTGCACAAGTTGAGTGGGTCATTGCTTCACTGCCAGGCCCCAGGTTACTACAGAAGTAGAAGAAAAAGAATTTTCTGGGCATCTCAGAAAGTTATCCTGCAATAAACTTGACAGGTTTTCTTGAGGAATGGACCTCTGAGTAACGCTGCCTAGAGACAGCACAGGGGCTCCATCTTTTTCTCTCCGGTACCATTTAGAGTCTTCAGGGCACTATTTATGACTTCAATAAAATCAGTAGTCTTAAAGTGTATCCTTCAGTGGCAGCAAGCATCTTAGCTATGAGGTTTTTTTTCCCCCTACTTCCTGACTTAAGTGGATAACAGTGGACACAGCCGTGCCTGTGCTTGCAGCTCAGACACAGCCATCACTCCGCCTGAGGATGCTAGAAGGCGGGGTGAGAAAGCCAGACTGCACCAAGTCTTAAAATAGTAATAAAATTACTGCCATTGAAGAATTAGAATTGAGGCAGTTCTAGGGAGAGCAGCCTCAAGGTACAGCAAATGAGAATTATCCTAATTCTTTAGTGAGTCCAGCACTGATGTTGTTTAACTCCTCTTTCGACAGTTGGGTTATTTAGTTGTCTGCTTTAGGAATTAATTTTGCAATGGCATCTGTAGCACTGGGGAGGATGGTTGAATTACTTGCACCAAAATAGAAATCATGTCCCGAATGTCATTTGGTGACAGCAGTAATTAACCTGGATCACACATCAGCTGTCCCAGCAAACACGACAGTCCTGTAATTGTTTGGAAATTAAAATGAGAATGTCAGTGGCAAGTAAGACAGAATACCATGTATTTTCACATGAGCTTTGCCTGCTTAACAAGTAGGGAGCAAATGGATGCGGAAGTAGCTTTTTCCTGGACATGGCTGAACCTGTTTCTGTGCAGGCCTCTGTGAGCCAAGCCTTCTGTTTAATTTCACCTAATGTAGATGCTGATTTTTTTTCTTTCCAGCTTCTCCTTTCATTAACTGTCTGTCATGCACACACCTCTAAGCCACACGCCCCCAGGAGACCATGAAAAATTAAATGGTACCCATGAGCCGTTTGTTATGCATTATTTTTTTAAAGACATTCTGATTTGGATATACAAATATTAAAGATCTCAACTTCTGGCTATTTTTAAACAGTGGGATGATTTCAGAATAACCAACCTTTCACTTCAGTATGCTGATGCTTGCCTTTGCTAAGGGGATCCGTAGGAAGCCATGGTGTCCCCTAGTCAGCCTGTCTCACTTACGTGGTCCACCTACCTTACAGCCATGTGTTGGCATGTGCCTGTCACTTTGGTTCTAGAAACCAAAGGCAAATAAGAGAAGTAACTGGTTGTTCAGTTTGTGTCACTGACATAAGAAACCCCAAGCTCTAAGAGGTGGGAGACTTTGTCCATCCTTTTTGGTATGTTCCTAATGTTTTGTAGATGTTTATTGAATTGATTGGGAATTCTATTTAGGAGACTAGTCTGGCAGATGTCTTTGGGATGCTGAAAGGAACATGCTGAATGCTGGGGTAAGCCTATCACCCGAGGCCTAAAAACACACTGAGAGGACACAGAGGAAGTTAGACATGATGAGACCCTGAGACACAATTTGAATGAAAGTCCATTGGACTGAGAGGCTGATGGAATGTGATGGAGAAGAAGAAAGGATGGCTTTGGAGCCTCAAGAAATAAGAGTGTGAGGTTGGAGTGATGGCTCAGTGGTTAAGAGTGCTTGTTCTGTCATCAGGACCGGAGTTTTAGACCTCCACATCCACATCAGACAGCTCACAAACACCCATAGCTTCAGCCACCAGGGATCCAGTGCCCTCTTCTGGTCCCCAAGGGTATAGGCATGTGCGCACACTGTGTGTGTGTGTGTGTGTGTGTGTGTGTGTGTGTGTGTGTGTGTGTATACACACCCCACTCACACTCACCTGTACATATGGTCACATAGACATGCATACATAGAAATACACACACATACTAAAAATAAGTCCTTTTTAAAAGCCATAGTAGCATTGCCAGTGACCTAGGCTTGAGGGCTATAGGTAGAGGCCACAGGAAGTCTTTGCTATTCCAGTCCTTTTTGGATGTGAAAGGAATCTGAGGCTTGGTTATATAAAATCAGTAAGGGCTAATGGCTATCCTCAGAATTTACTCCCTGTGTTTTAATCCCAGAGCGAAGACCATCAAGAATACAGTCTCCGTGAACTTGGAACTAACGGCAGAAGAATGGAAGAAGAAATATGAAAAAGAGAAAGAGAAGAACAAGGCCTTGAAGAGCGTCATCCAGCATCTGGAGATGGAGTTGAACAGGTGGAGGAACGGTGAGAGCGAGCAGAGTGGAGAGGAGATGGGGCATATGCTTCCTCCTCCTTGTGGTGGTTGGCATCTTGGGAGACTCTTGGGAAAGGGGTGACTGTGGAAGTCAAGTGTTTCCAGTTCCTGTGATGATGAGTGTTTTACTATTTTGTTTTACTAATGTTTTAGTATTCCTGGGCACCATGCCCAGTTCATTTCGTCCTGGGACCTGTGCGCAGTGGTGTGGGCCACGTGACCTGAATCAGTCGCTCAGTCAATCTCTTTAAGTGTGTATAAGTGCATGTGTGGATCGAGGGGTGCACATGTGTGGGGAGAGGTTCATGTCTGTGTGTACCTGTGTGTGCAGGGGCGTGCATGTATCTGGAGGTGTGTGTGTGTGTGTGTGCAGAAGCATGTGTGGAGGCTAGAGTATATAGCCTGTGTGTTATACCAAGGAAAACTGTCCACCTCCTTTGAGACAGGGTTTCTCATTTGCCTGGAGCTTCCCCATTAGGTTAGACTAGCTCGTGAGCCCCATGGATCAGTCCCCACCTCCCCAGCTCTGGGGTTACAAGTGCATACCAGCATGCCTGACATTTTATGTATACTCTTGGGATAGAACTCAGGTCCTTGTATTGAGCATCAAGTGCTTTCCTGAGAGAGAGCAGTTCCCTAGCCTGGCTAGAATCTGGTTCTGATGCTCTGTGTCTAGATGTTCCCGTCCTTCACTTCCAGGGATCCTGGCTTCATATTTACAGGGAAGCTTCTGAGTTCCCCCTCCTCCCCTGAATACAAATTGCTTTGGCTAAATGAAAACTAGAATTTGCTTCAGTCTTGTCATTTACTTGTGGGCAAATGTCACCTCTGGCCAGAACTTGCTTTTTCTGACCTGCCTCACCATCAAGTTCGTCAGAGGTAGACATAGTGGGCTGAAGAAAGAAACCCTTTGCTAAGATGGGCCCTGACAAGACTGCTTCATGATTAGTTTTTCTCCCCCTTCTTCAGTCTCTTTGGTTTGTTCTGTAGGAGAAAATATCTCCTAGAGCTTGCGTGCTGCGGGTGGGTGGGTTGTGGGGGAGGTGTGAGGGGTGGCTTCCAGATTCCGGGCAGACACATTATTTTGGTGACTTTCGCATTATGATGGAGTTCAGACCGTAGCAGTCTGTTTTAATCTGGAAGCAAGGCAGGTTGGAGATGTGTGTCAGAGGATGGGAATAGCTAGAAGTCATTTGTTCCTCAGGTCCTTTGCTTCCTTGTGGTGTGTGTATTTCAGCAGCTACTGCAGCCTGTGGTGCCCTGAGGGAGGGAGCCTGGGGATTGCTGAGCTGGTCTGGAGGTAGCTTGGTCTGTTTGCAACTGCGTGGTGAGCTAGAAGCCGATTGCTGGTGATGGTATTTGTTGCTGCTTCTTGCTAGTAAGGATTGGGTATCAACAAGCTCCGTATTTACTTGAGAAGCAATTACGTAGCAAACAAGAATTCAGGAGAGGATCAAAATCTGACCTAGTACCCTAAATAACAGGATTCTCTTCTCTTCAGAAGCGTTTCTAGCTGCACATGCGTTTCAAAAGCTGCTAGAATAATTGAATAACTCAGCACCTGCGCTGAGTGACGATCCGTGCCGTTTGGCAGGAGCAGCAGAGTGGGGTGTGTGGGAAGCAGAATGGGAGGTGGCTGTGGGGAGCTTTGTGGTGGTTCTGGAATCCTTTCGGGTCAGTTCCCTGTGGGATGCCTGGGTCACTTAGTAGAACCCTTTGGTAAAGGGTTGGCTTGCTGGCCTTAGAAAGCTCTGTGAGTTGGACAGTCACTTTGTTTTAATTGTCTCTCATCTCTTGCCTAACTCCAGCAGTCCAGTTCTCCAGCACATATCCAGGGCCACCTTGGGGAATCTGACCTGTCTTGTTTGCCTGACTTCCTGCATACCTAGCATCTTTTTGGGGTCCTGTATCCCGCTGGCTTCTGTATATGCCACTTTAACTGACTGTCCAATTTCATTCCCACTGCATAGCTTTAAAAAGTATGATTTATGAGTCTTTTGGTGACATCCTACATATACCTTTAAGCTACGTAATTTGTGGAAAGTAAAGCATAATTTCTGGTATATCATAGACCTACAATAAATTTATAGTACATAATTGTGTGCTTAACATGGAATCTGGGCAGTTGGGTGAGACCCGCGCTTTGAACGTAAAGGGAACTTGCAGTCACTGTCAATACATGTATGGTAATCGTCTGTGCTGAAGACCAAGGAAAGAGTGTGTCCAGAGATTTTATAGCAGGCACTTAACCTCTTTGAGAAGCCAGTGTGGGCTTCCTTGAGTAAGAAATACAGAGAACTAACCATAGAGAGAGCAGCTGGTGAGACAGGAGGTTTAAGGTGAGCTCCCACTTCCTGTGGAGAGAACTGAATTGACCGTGTAACTGAGCATGGGAGCGGAAGGCCAGTGTGGGGTCTGGGCTGGGATGGCAGTGGTCTTAGATGAGCTTGGCAGGTAAATATAGGAGTTGTTCTTCAAGCAATGAGAAGCCACTCCGCTATAGAACACTTAAGAAGGGTTACCTTTTGAAGGTCCCTTGGTTATGCTGGAGAAAGGACTGGGGTAGGCAGAAGAAGGTGTGGTAGAGGCAAGGAGAAGACCATTAAATTGAAAGATAGGAGGTAGAAGGGAACGAATTGGATTGATATTAAAACAGAGAAATTTGCAGGGTTTGGTGAGGACTAACCATGCAGGAAGGACGGTGTCAAGGTGGTTCTGAGGTTTTTGTCTTGGCTAAGTTGGCTGGAAGACAGAACCGTTCTCTTAGACTGGAGATACAGGAAAAGAACCAGACTGGGGAGGAGTGGGGTAAGGAGGAAGCCTTGGGTGCCCAAGAAACATCCAAAGGAGGGTCATATGAGAAGGTAGTCTGAGGGTCTTTGTAATCGGAAGAGGGAAATTTGAACATTACTGACCTTTTTTGTGATTGAAGGCATAGGTAGGGGCAAGGCTCCTGTAGGTGATAGAGTGGAGAGGGAAGAGAGGAAGTAGAGGTTGACAGACTCCCTCCAACAGCCTATGGCCTTGTAACCTCTGAGCAGCTGAGATAGGAGATGTTCTGCAGAGAACCTTGCCTTCCAAGCTAGTATTTATATTTTAAAGGTGATGTTCCTGGAGGCAATGGCTTGTAAGTGCAGAGAGAATGGACTGACGGAGAGAGACTATAGGAAATAAGAGAACAGTGAGGGAGAGTGAGTGGTGCTATCCTGAACCACTCCCGACTCTTTGTACCTGAGTCCTGAGGCGTGGTAGCCATGTGGAGAAGAAAGCTGGGTCGGACACAGTGTCAGCTATCCTAATTGATATCGGAATGGCAGGATATTGCCAAGTTCCTTTTGAAATATGAAATACATTGTTGGATCTAAACGTCTAGGAGGCAGCTACTTAATTTACTTCAGTATCCCCTGGGTATTGATATTGCCACGTCAGGATCTGAATACGTTCTAAGAGCCCTGACGATGGGTGCATAGGAAAGACACTCCTTTCCTTGCATGGTGTGCTCATAATTTAAAAGCTTCGCTGCTCTAGTCCAGCTGTGAGAGAGCAAGGAAGAAGTGTGTGCACACATATGTGCCTGTGAACGCTTGGTCTTTCTGCAGTTGCCATCACAGAGAATACAGTGGCAAAGCAAGGCAGGAGAAAAATCAATTACACACCAGGTGCAGGCAGATAAATGGATAAATAAGGACACTTGTCTAACCCAGTTGGTGGTGACATGTGATACAAGACATTACTAAAGAAAGAGGCATGCCCTGTTTTCTATCTAGAGGCTGATCTAAGGTCTAACCCCTCTTACCTCCACCTTGACCAATTTTCAACCTTAGAAGCTTGATAGATTCTATACATTGTAAGTTTGTGTTCCCTCTAAGATACTTGTGGAAATCACAGATCCTGAGGTGATGGTACTAGGTGTTGGTTTCTTTGGGAGTTGTCCTAGTTAGGATTTCTACTCCTGTGATGAAACACTATAACCAAAAGCAACATGGGGAAGAAAGGGTTTTTTTTATTTGGCTTACACTTTCACATTGTAGTTCATCACTGAAGGAAGTTAGGGCAGGACCTCAAACAGGGCCGGAGCCTGGAGCCAGGAGCTGATGCAGAGGCCATGGAGGGTTGCTGATTACTGGCTTACTCCCCATGGCTTGCTCAAGTCGCTTATACAACCCTGGACCACCAGCCCAGAAGTGGCCCCACCCACAATGGGCTGGGCCCTCCCACATTAATTAGTAATTAAGAAAATGTCCTTTAGGCTTGCCTGAAGCCCATTTTTATGGAGACATTTTCTCAACTGAGGTTCCCATCTGTGAATTGACACTAGCCTGTGTCAAGGTGACATAAAGCTAGCCGGCACAGAGGTGACTATTTCTTTGTCATTTCATGAAACTGTGCTGCTTCTTATTTGGTGAAGATAAAAAGAAATGTCATCGGCAAACCCAGAAGAGCTCCCCACCCCATCCAAGAACAAGATGTCTCTGTTGCTGCTTGGACCTCCCACTTCTAGCTTTCGAGTTATGAGAAATGGTTCTGTTGCCCAGAAGACCCCATCCTGTAGTACTTTGTCATACTAGCTCTGAGTGACTAAGACGGCAGCCCATGCATACAGTTGGGCCCGTGACTTGGAACATATATTCTGCAAGCCTTATTCTTTTGGCCATTGCTTCTGAGGCATGCTGGCTCTCTACACACGCATAGTGACCTAAGAGACCCTGTCTCTTCTTGTTTGCTTTTGCTTTGGTTTTGGTTCTTCAAGTTAATGTTTCTCTGTGTAGACCAGGCTGGCCTGGAACTCAGATCTGCCCCTGCCTACCTCTGCCTGCTGAGTGCTGCAATGAAAGGCGTGACCCACCACCACCTGACCATATCTGTTTTATATTAAGGAAGGAATGGGGAGGGTCACCTCATGACCATGGCTTCATCCTCCAGTGAACCAGTTATTGTCCTCTGGTTGCAAGCAGTGGCAGCTGCAGCAGCAACCGACCCTGCCCGGCCT